ATTATTGTTAATATGCCTTCGGTAACATTCTTCACACAAGGTACTTTTTCGCGATTGATATTATTCTCTGTTCAAAATGAATAAACAGGTGCGGATCTAGATTTGTGAGTTAAAGGGACCGTAAATTAGTGTTGTGCCAGACACTTCCCTCTATTTCACAGATGACTGCATTATAATATTAGGACGGCGCAGCAATCCTCAAAAACTAAAGCAAAATTATAAAGTACAATAATATTCTGATAGATTTACCAATAGAAGCCACAAGCAATTGAAGGCAATTATATTAGTCAACGTTTCAAAGTCTGATTGGAGACGTAACTCTGATTTTTTTAAATTCAAATAAATAACGTCCTCAATTGAGATATTCGTATAAAAATTGGAGTTATGTATTACAGCAGACCTCTACACTGAGGTGTGATGATGGAATCAGTTAATTATTCTTGTAAATAATGGCCACTTCGCAAATTTTAGAGGGAGCACGCCGGGTGGCCTGCCAATGATAAAATATAGAATTAAAAAAAACTGTCCTTAGATACATATTACGGTGCATAACGATAAACTGACGGTTCATTCCAATCAGCTCAACACACCTGTTACATATATTCGTACATTAAGGGAAGATGTACGATAATATCCGAAAGAAATACTGACAAGGGATTCAACACGGTGACTTCTATTGAACCGCGTGTTCCAATGAAAATAACAGCACACACTAAGGGCGATAACTCCAGGTGATTTGGCTTTTCTCCAACAAGTACATCAATATTTAAATTGATATATTAGCTTACAATGTGATGTGTAAAAATATTTCCAGGGAGCGAAAATTATTATTTAATGCATCAAGGAATGTACTTTGTACGGAGAGATAGGTGTTACTACAACGTCTACACTGTGACGGCCGGACAATTCCGACCAAAAGTTACAAGATCAGATGTGTGCTAGTTGCAACTAAAACAAATGTGAGTTTTTTTTTTCTTTTTCTTTTTCATTTTTATGACACTCTAAATAACGAGTCAAGCGAAATGAAATCGTATAAACTACACACTAATAAGAAAATTAGCTTTTCATTTCATTCAAGAACTATTTAAAACTCTGGACTTAATTCATCTGGTTAATGAATGCGTTTTATGCCGATTATTACGGTCTTTCTGCCTCTCAGCGGACGAGAAAAGATTGGAAAGTCATTTGAGAGGAAAACGTATGAAGTGATGAAGAGATACGAGAGAGTGGGATACAGAAATGAGGTTGAGAGGGGCCAGACCTGTTCTTAAACTATTTTTAAGACAATCCCCTTGACCTAATTTTAGCCCTAAACTACTGTGTAAGGAAGGAAGATGGGACCCCTCTCTATAAAGCGATTTTGTGTGTTGACATTAATATTGGCACAACCTATTTCATTTTCGGACATACACTCTGAGAATCATCGATTGGATATCGCCAAGCATTGCAGAATAAATTAAAACATATTTACAAAGACTTAGACTATTGTCTAGAGAGGTATAACACGTAACGATCACTAGAACACCTTTCCAAGACGTTGGTGCTTATGGACGTAAAAGAATATTTTTTAAATATGGTAAGTTAATGTAGAATTAACCATTTTATAACGTCCTTAAGTTTAAGCGCAAAATGACAACCAACGAAGTTGCCTAATTTATAAAATGGTTTACCATATTCTTTTTTTAAAATCACAATCATTTCTACTAGCACATGCGTTTCCAGTTTGTCGAATCATATAATATATTTGATTTAAGTTGTATTTCCAAATTTGCCGAAATAAAACCCAAAAATTGAATTCTTATTTCAATTATGGTTCAAATCAATCAAAATCAGACCCCTGTTTGCCAAACCTCTCAAATGTCACCTTTTTTCAATTTTGCTGTACATTTATATTTACAAGCATATAACGTATTACTTTGACGTTCAACTGAATTATTGGACAACTTCACGAAGTCAGTTATCGTGAGGCGCCTAAATGATACATGTATATGCAGGACATGTCTGAAACCTGTGAATTTTGGCGCTACTTAAATACTGGGAATACATTCATATATCTATGTACACGATTAACTTCAGAGAAAGTGTTTGTTTCCCCCATTTGTTTATTATTTACGCTGAACCATATTATACATGTGTCTAGAGGATAAAAAAATATTCCCAAAGTACCAGACAGAAAAACAGGTAAAAGGTAAAAGCATGGAACGGACAGACGGATGCATGGAACGGACGGATGGATGCATGGACCACACACTATCGTTAGAATGAACTAATCTATAACCAACCAATAAACGTATAAAAGTTAATGTCATGATCGTGTGTTTAACGAAGGCTCTCTAGATGGCAGATTTAAGATATATATATATATTAGGCATTATCCGGATGTATTTGTTGTATCGCGATATCTCGCAGTGTGTCAGGTACTGATGATATCGTTATTATTACTTTATAATATCATTCCTACACCCCCGTATACCACTTGTACGAGAGAATAAAAAAATTGATTTGAATTCAATTACTTCGTATTGCTTAAAAGGATCGCATCAGTGAGATTAATAGAATGACTGTTTTGACCAAATTTAGTCAGAAGCATTCCCGAGAGGAAGGCGAATCAAGTGTGTATACTAGTAAATGGAGGTTCTAGACGCCATGGGGCCACCAGTGGGAAATTTTAAGACAGGTTTTTAAATTCTTACACCTTCTGTGGGACCGAAACATCCTTAGGAGAAGGGGACTCCGTGTTTTTTACACGTTGGGTATGCATTTAAGTTACCAAGTTTCTTTGCCCATCACATCCCTCGTTTCCGCTTTTTTAAGATGCTTCTAAAGAAATCTCGAGTGGAGCGTGAATTTTAAAAAAATGTTTTCGAACATGGTTCATGTAAATACATATAACAAGCAAAGATCAGTATACTATGCAGCATCTATGCACAATATCACGTGCTCGGTTTCTAAAGATATGTGTTTAAAAAAACTGTTCCTCACATGAATGACTTCACGAAAAAGAATCCTCAAGAATATTAATTAAGTAACTTCTGCAATTAGTTGAGTTTTATCATTTTCCCTCTCTCTGTCTCTTTCATTCACACCATTCGTGTGTGATTTATTGACACAAAACTAGCCGCTATGAAGTGTGACCACAGAATTAGATAAGATCTGTCTAAGGCATTTGTGTCTTGTGATTTGTAACGTTTTGTTGCCTATGCCTAAATACAAGACAATCTCTATTGACGGGTACCCCTGAGATAGGTTTAAATTCACTTACAAACAGTATTTATTATTGTGGGGTGGTCCCTCCGGCAGGTAGGACAGTATCTAAGGACAGTAGTTACTAGAGACAGGTGGCCTCTAAAGCAGATTGGACAGTATTTAAGGACAGTAGTTGCTAGAGACATTTGGCCTCCAAAGCAGGTTGTACTATAGATATGGACAGTAGTTGCTGTGGACAGGTGGCCTCTAAAGCAGGTTGTACTGTAGATATGGACAGTAGTTGCTATAGACAGGTGGGCTTTAAGGCAGGTTGTACTGTAGATATGGACAGTAGTTGCTATAGACAGGTGGTCTCCAAGGCAGGTTGTACTGTAGATATGGACAGTAGTTGCTATAGACAGGTGGTCTCTATAGCAGGTTGTACTGTAGATATGGACAGTAGTTGCTATAGACAGGTGGTCTCTAAGTCAGTTTGGGAAGTAGTTATGGACAGAAGTTACGGACAGGTGGTCTCTAAGGCAGGTTGTACTTAAGATATGGACAGTAGTTCCTATAGACAGGTAGTCTCTAAAGCAGGTTGGACTGTAGTTACGGACAGTAGTTGCTAAAGACAGGTGGTCTAAAAGGCAGGTTAGACAGTAGCAATGAACACTTGTTGGGAACAGATGGTCTCTAAGGCAGGTCGGACGGTAGTAATGAACAGTTGTTGGGGACAGGTGGTCTCTAAGGCAGGTTGGACGGTTGTTATGGACGGTCGTTGTTATGGACGTTAGATATTAATACGTGAGTACGTCGTCTCTTTGGTAAGTTGAATTGTAGTTATGGACAGACGTTATGAAAGGTGATCTTTAAGGCAAGTTGAACCGACAGCAGTTATTACAGGCAAAAGCCACTTCCGACAGGCGACTCATTGGCAAGATGGACTGTAGTTATAGACAGAAGACAACCGCTTGGCAGATTGGACTTTGTGGTCAGTAGCCGATGTAAGCAATAGTCGCTATAGACAGATGCTCTCTATGGCAAGTTTGACTGTTTGTACGTAGGGTAGTTGTTAAAGACAAAAACCGATATGGACAAGTTATATATTCGGCTGGTTGACTGTTGTAGACAACAGTTTATATAGACATTGGTCGTTATAGAGAGGTAATGTTTAAACAGTAGACACGTTGTATTCAAAAAATAGAATATTTTCTGTATATAGTTCATTAATGAGCTTGTTCACATAAAAGATGACTGTGGTGACTGGTTTACAAGCTTGCTGACGTACGCTCAGGAAGCAACCAAACAGACCGATATGTTATCGCTCAAAAATGTATGGGAGACGATAAATATTTTTTTTTCATTTTATAAAAAAAAGTCTGCAAAAAACCTATTGACACTTTGGCATATGACGTAACAGTAGATGAGCCTTACGATATTTAAAAAAGAGAGAGAACGAAATAGGATGAAAAAAACACTGTAAAGATAACCCCACCCCTACCCCACCCCTATCCCTACCCCCAAATTGCTAAAAGAAACTATTTGTAATTGAGCGTTGATCCAACAACAAAGTTAAAATACAGAGAGAATGCTTTTAATACATTGGGAGTTATTGTCTTAAATAAATGTCAATCTGATAGATACCTTTATGAACAATGTAACACTGTAGCGTGACTAAGGAGATTGGAAGCCACAGAGTTTGCTCTCTTTGCAATATTTAACCAGTTACTATGACAACATGACCTAAGGAACAATCTTCTAGCATATCATATCCCTGTGCATGAGAGAAAATCGAACCTATGAATCACACTTACCTGTACGCAGAAATAGCAGAGTGCTGAACATTGATAGAGCGACAGGTGCAAAAACCCCGGCAAACGTAGACAGTGACCGTCTTGGGTCATCGGTAGCTTCATCTCCGGTACCATCGTCATAACCACAACATGGCAGAAATCCCAGCACGCGCGTAACAATCCTATTACCCCCTACAAGTCTAACTCTCTCGTACCATTTCCCCTCAGTCGGGGAGTCTTCCATTCCGGGTCCAAGAGTTTTGTACCCGTCATGTCTATGAGACTTAAGGGGTGAGGAGTTTCTTTTATCTTCATCGTTATAGATCTCTGCCATTACGTCAAATCGGCGAAAATAGCACAAAATAACTGGTCTACCGTTGTGTATCTCCGAACGTTCGACATACCACAAAAAAGCTATTAGGTAACAAAACACACCATTTGATATTTAAAATGTTCCGCCATTAATAGCTCTGTCATTTCAAATGAATAATAGCTGTGTGTCACATGACTTTTATAAATGGAACTCTAGATACACACACACAGAGATATAGTATAGCATCTCATGAACCGTCACATGAGCAATACATGTACAATGGCTGTGGCGCGCTCCCCTCAAAGTGTCCAGCACGAATGTAATAGCCCAAAATAGAAATAAATTTACAATGTCGCCATTGCTACAATTTTTATATAGCAATCTGAGTGACCTGTCATACAGTTCACGATAACTAGGTTGCAATTCATTATGCGTCGTAGTAATAAGAAGCTAATAGTGTCAGGTTTGACCTAACGAATTCAATCGATAACACCTCTAAACGGAAAGCATACACCAACTAGTATTGGCGTTTTCCCCCAAACACGTGAAGCAACGTCTATAAATAACTAGTGTTAGTTCGATTAAAGCATTCCATTATTAGGAGTGTCTACACTATCTCTGAATTATTATCTATTTATCTTGACAAACAGATTAGATTGTTTCACAGCTTTACATGTTTACTTCCTTTATTGTCAGCGTGTGGATGTTTTATTGTTGCAGTATTTACCAAAACAATGATCAGCTGGAATTGAAAAAGTTAAAAATGTGAATATGATATAGATGACGTAACATACGAGGAGCTAGGCACAAACTCTTAAATTGTAACTCTTGGTATCTTGTGACAAGAAATAGGGAAACAATACAAAAAGACACGTTTCGCTTGGTTACACAATACACAGACAGAAAGATGTGTTTACCTGGAGACACTGCATATACCTGGAGAAAACATATACTTCCTTGGGCGAATATTGAATATTGGGACTAGTAAATAATTGTTTTATGCGGCAAATGAATATATTTATCTGACAGGTATGTACATTACGTCTCCGAAACACATACTGGTCTTTACATAAGTTGGTCCAGTGTTATGGAGTAAGACAGGTAGTCTCCAAAACACATCCTGGTCTTTACAGTAGATGTAAGTTGGCCCAGTGTTATGGACTAAGACAGGTAGTCCCCAAAACACATACTGGTCTTTACAGTAGATGTAAGTTGGTCCAGCGTTATGGACTAAGACAGGTAGTCCCCAAAACACATCCTGGTCTTTACAGTAGATGTAAGTTGGTCCAGTGTTATGGACTAAGACAGGTAGTCCCCAAAACACATACTGGTCTTTACAGTAGATGTAAGTTGGTCCAGCGTTATGGACAAAGACAGGTAGTCCCCAAAACACATCCTGGTCTTTACAGTAGATGTAAGTTGGTCCAGTGTTATGGACTAAGACAGGTAGTCCCTAAAACACTTACTGGTCTTTACAGTGGCATAATAAAGCGAGTGATAAATATGAAGTTATAGACTCCATATATGTTAACTTCAAGAAAGCTTAGAGAGATTCGTCTCGAAAAACTAAGGTGTGTGTGACTAGAGCTATAGACTAAGCATCCAGGAGTGACTAGATTAACAGAATAAGCCCAGTACCTCGGACTGGAATTATAAATATGTTGGCCAAAGGATTTGAAGGGAGTTATACACTTTCCAAGGTTAACTGTTGTTGTTTAAACTAAGGCGGGTAAGACTGGAATTAAAGGAAGTTTCGACTGGAGCTATAGACTATTTGACAGCAGTTTTATAGCTTAAGGTTGGACTGTAGTGACTTATACACATATAACATAAGTTATAGTGTCAAACCTATTTCACCGGAGTCATGCATTAAGGCATGCGTTACTGGAGTCATAGACAAAGACAGGTTATACTGGAGTTATAGACAAAGACAGGTTATACTGGAGTTATAGACTAAGACAGGTTATACTGGAGTCATAGACTAAGACAGGTTATACTGGAGTTATAGACTAAGACAGGTTATACTAGAGGTATAGACAAAGACAGGTTATACTGGAGTTATAGACTAAGACAGGTTATACTGGAGTTATAGACAAAGACATATTATACTGGAGTCATAGACTAGGACAGGTTATACTGGAGTTATAGACAAAGACAGGTTATACTGGAGTCATAGACAAAGACAGGTTATACTGGAGTTATAGACAAAGACAGGTTATACCGGAGTCATAGACAAAGACAGTTTATACTGGAGTTATAGACAAAGACAGTTGGAGTTATAGACAAAGACATGTAATACTGGAGTTATAGACTAAGACAGGTTATACTGGAGTTATAGACAAAGACAGGTTATACTGGAGTTATAGACAAAGACAGTTGGAGTTATAGACAAAGACATGTAATACTGGAGTTATAGACTAAGACAGGTTATACTGGAGTTATAGACAAAGACAGGTTATACTGGAGTTATAGACAAAGACAGGTTATACTGGAGTTATAGACAGAGACAGGTTATGCTGGAGTTATAGACTAAGACAGGTTATACTGGAGTCATAGACTAGGACAGGTTATACTGGAGTTATAGACAAAGACAGGTTATACTGGAGTTATAGACAAAGACAGGTTATACTGGAGTTATAGACTAAGACAGGTTATACTGGAGTCATAGACTAAGACAGGTTATACTGGAGTTATAGACAAAGACAGATTTTAATGGAGTCAAAGACAAAGACAGGTTATACTAGAGTTATAGACAAAGACAGGTTATACTGGAGTCATAGACTAAGACAGGTTATACTGGAGTTATAGACTAAGACAGGTTATACTGGAGTCATAGACTAGGACAGGTTATACTGGAGTTATAGACAAAGACAGGTTATACTGGAGTTATAGACAAAGACAGGTTATACTGGAGTTATAGACTAAGACAGGTTATACTGGAGTTATAGACAAAGACAGGTTATACTGGAGTTATAGACAGAGACAGGTTATACTGGAGTTATAGACTAAGACAGGTTATACTGGAGTCATAGACTAGGACAGGTTATACTGGAGTTATAGACAAAGACAGGTTATACTGGAGTTATAGACAAAGACAGGTTATACTGGAGTTATAGACAAAGACAGGTTATACTAGAGTTATAGACTAATTGATATGTGTGTACTGCTAGTATAATATACTGTAGGTTTTCTATCGTGTTTTATTTACTTTAGGGAATTAACAATAATTTTAGTAAATTTGCTGATTATTTACAGAAATCTTTAGTAATATGGCATTTGCAGTCTCATCTACATAGCCTCAGATAAGACTGGTTTAACAGTAGATTTGTGCCGTGTGCGTGGAAATCTGTACTAATGTTATCAACAATGGATCGGTGTTGTTGAACCAGCATCCCAATATCGACAAATTACACATCGATTTCTGTGGCGCCGTGTCTCTCTAGTTCGGCGTACATCCGTAATCGCCGTAATTACGACTAAAATACAATTACACGGCTCTAGTGATTTCTGCTGAATAATCACCTTTATTTCTATCATTCCATTATAGTTAAGAAAAAAAATTAACCATAGAACAAATTCTAAATCCGGCAAAATTACCATCAGTCGTCTTATTGCATGTGGTTTACTTAAACATGGCTTTAAATTCTAGTGATTAAGCATTGAATAGCGTACATACTAGGTACAAACATGAATTACATTACACCATGAACCCGAGGGCTTCATCCGGGGTTTTATAATTGTGCTCCTGAACTTTGACCTTGATTGAGCGATTATCTTATCCATGTGAAACCTACAATATTTACATTGAGATATATTACAATAGATTGTCTATATTTCTGAGTATCATTGATGTACATTTCGGTGTGTTATACGGATCTAAAATTGATTTTACAATTATCACAACAACTATACTATTATCAGTATAACATTATACCCATTACATATTTTTGTTATGATTTAGTAATCAATGATAAATGATTGGTTAAATTTCAACCCATCAATTGTGACAATTCATATCTATCTGCATTGTGATATCAGCGAAGATAGATATGTATCGAGAACTTTGTCCATTTTCATTTTACAGCTTTCACAATTGCTCACAAATCTATATTTGAAATGTTTCCGTTCCATGTCAGACAGATGATTAAATCTCCTCGCGGATTCTTAAATATTTTTTTGACGCGAAAGATTTAAGAAAACGGTGTCGTTTTTAATAACGAACCGTCGCATTTTCGTGGCAACAAATCGAAGCGTTGTAGGTACATGTGACAAAAAAGTATATGAACCATTCGTTAACAGGCGAGTATGTAAAGCGTTATTTAACATTCGAGTAAAAAAAAGTTATAAAAACAGTTTTAATTGCACTCTATGACCTGCGACATTTGATGGTATAAAATGATTTTTTTTTCACAAGGAAAAACTTAAGTTCATTTCTTATTTTCATTGTTTCTTATTTCAACCAGAGAATTTCCGGACTAACGAGATGGCATTGACTTGGTATGGAAAAGTTTTCGACGACTGATTGAACAGATTCAATCAGCACTTTACAAGCGTCTCGTTTTCCATTAACAATCTAGACAGCTCTACACGCGACCTTTGCAAGTTGATATTCTTATCTGTACAAGTAATCATATTGACACTGATTCTACAAATTTGACGCATAAATCGATAAGCCGACAGACCGACTATTTCTGGATAATCAAGAAAGGGTCGACGGCGGATAGGACCATCAGCAAAATATCGGGTAAAATCTACAATGTTTCAGGTTTCTGTTTCGAAATGGGAAAGTGGTTTTATCGACGCCGTAGAGTTTTAAATTCAATACGGCAAGTAAACAAAAAAAAAAAAAAAAAGCTTGGATGATAGATAATCCGGATTCAAATCCTTCCATTTTTACTTACTTGTAATATTACCAATATCCGGTCTCTTTAGCACAAGTGAAAAAGTGTGCTGTTGTCAAGGCTACAACATTAAAGTTTAGTAGTAACGCCATTGTATTTCACCTCAGCGATTGGAGTTCGATTTCCGAATCGGACGTGAAAATATATGAGCTCTCCTGCAGGACCGACAATTTGGAGTTTATCCAAGTACTCTGATTAATGTTAAGAGCCAAAATAAGTGATACATGTATCAAGCTGATGTCTTGTTTCGCTATTTTAAATCTATAACCGACATTGCCCTCGGGTATATACAGAACACATTTTAGTCTAAACTTGTTGATAATGTCTTTTTTGTAGCTATCATGTGTTTGACTTTTTTAACGCCCACAGGGCCTGCATCGCTCATCTGTCTTGTTTTGCTGAAATTGCTTCATACAAACTATTAGGAACTATAAGAAAAGGAATTCTAAATTCCCACGCACACACAACACTATATCTATTTCTCCATTGGGTCCGCCCTTCTGTCCTTAGGGGATCAGCCAAACAATTCATGTTTCAAAACCAATTTGACATTTCAACAGAAGAATTTTAAAGAATATGCTCCATTTTCCCTCGAATAGTTCCTGCTCCTCCCGTCCAAAGGGGCCTAGACCCGCCATTTCTATAAAACTGTTTACAATTTACTCAAGGATGCGTCAGACCAAATTTGAGCTAAACTGAACTATTCCTACAGAAGAAGTAGGATTTTAAAGAATTTGCCCATTTCCCTTCTTAGGATCCCCCCCCCCCGTCCTAAGTGGCCAATACCTACCGTTTTAACAAATTTATTCCCCTTCACCCAAGGCTGCTTCAGACCAGATTTAGGTCAAATGCAATGATTCTTACGGGGAGAGTATGCTTTTTTAAGAATATGTTCTATTTCCCTCAATTGGCCCCGTCCCTCAGGTCCCAAGGGGACGAGACCAATCGTTTTAACAAACTTATTCCCCTTCACCCAAGACTGCTTCAGACCAGATTTGGGTCAATTCGGTCCAGGTGAGCTAATAAAGATTCAAACGACGCTTCAAAAATGGCGATTGTGGTGTTGGTGGAAAAAAATTCGGGGAGTTGGGACTGGGCGTTGTTCGTATAGCTTTCAAGGTCTGAATCAAGGTTCTTGATTTAAGGAATTGAATGTCGATTCTAATAGTTAACGCTGGTGACCCATGGTCCTGCGCTCACGCATAGAGACCGTGGGTTACCGACCATATCCTTTAATGTATTGTACACTGTTCAATCAACCTTATACTGCAACTAACGTCCGGTTTTACATCACTAGGAACGGGAGTTATTCCCTCGTTATTTTTTTATGCTCCAATAGTGTCATCGCCTGATATTCGAAATTCCACCTCTTTCAAAATAATCAATGAAATATCATGAATCAGACAGAAAAAGAAAAAAATATTATCTCTGAGTCACAGCGTGACATCATAAAACTCCGGAAGCGTATTAAGCTCGTGGTTTTATTTACCTATTCCTCTGTTCTACACATCATCCCGATAACGGTCACAGACTCTCTCCGTATCCCACGGGAATACCCAGACGTAGTCTCTTCGTGAAAAACGAAACAATCGATTTTACCTGTTTTAAGTATATTCTAAAGTTATAACACTGAAGAATAAATGGCATAGGGGCCGCATCGCTAACCTAGATAGGCTTACATCTTATTTAGATAATTTGATGAATTTTGATAAACAAAATTTATGTACACAATATGCTTAAGACAAATCATCACCTCTCCCCCAACAACCTCATCACAAATACCATCATCCTCATCGATCATCACACTGTTTATCTTTCATCATAGGGGACACAGTTCTACTTTCTAAAATATCGGGATTCGTATTATGGTCATCCAAACGGTCAGCAGTTTATTTTAAAGTTTAACACCCCATCCTTAAATTTTTGACATGGATGTTTCCAAGAGAGTAGTTAGGCCTCCCGTTATTTACATTTTGTAAAGAAATAGCATTTAACATAAAGTTGTAGAGATGCGCCATTCTTTGAGGAGAAACTCGTTCGTGTTTCCTGTAAATAAATGAGAGAAGATTAAACAAAAAAATAAAATAAAAAAACAAAAACAAAAAACAAAACAAAAACAACTGACTCCCCTGGACAGGAATACACTGTTCCTCCATAAATACATGTACCACAGGAGGACCGACTTAACACAGCAGCGAGTTCCATCAGACGGAAGTCCCATAAAACTTAGTCAGTGTAGAGGAGTTTACCATTGTTAAAAACGTTGTTATTTCCTCACAAACTTGACAACATTTCCAAACCCCATGGCTCTTATGTACATTTAACCTAGTACTCTGTTAGTATTTTTCCTTATGGGACATCCATCATCCTTCCCGTGGTCGGGCTGTTGGATCTTTCGTTTTCACGCTATTTTTCGAAGACAGCAATACTCCACTGGGTGTTTTTCCTAGTGTTTACGTTCTGCTGTCGTTCGTCCAATTCCGCGTTGGCGACGGTAGCCCCATATTGCAGACCGGCGGGGTTTCAATTCCAATGTGCCTAGACCAGCTCCCTCAAAATCGTCTTCCTCGGCTTTTTCAATTTTGCTTCATTTTTTGACATATTTTCGTCGAAGTCGTAATTTGCGAAAACTTGAGTAAAGAACAATTTTTTCAGCCCCCCAAAAGCTACCATTTTTTCAATAATTTTACAAACTTGACTAAGAAAATGTCTTGTCCATCGTCGGAAAACTCCAGGAAGTCGACTGTGTAGGTTTATTCCCAGTTAGTGTTAATTGGAAAAGACGGTCTTTTGATTGATATGAGAGTGGTCCAAGTAGGTTCATTGTAGGCGGGACCATGTTACAACTCATTTGAAGTATATATTTATGAACAACAATTTGGGTATCTAAGATAGAATGATGGGTAGTTCTAAACGCGTGGCTCTTGGTTGATACCACTCGTTTAGCACCACCCATCATTCTATCTCAAATACCCGCAATGTAGGTCAGAAAAAATATATTTTAAATATAACTTGTTCCTACGGGGTTTTCGTTCTCTAGAGGGCGGGCGGTCAGCTTCTGTTTACACGATGGTTGGTCCAATATTGCCCTTGAAAGACACAGAAATTTAATGATGATTACTTTATTGACGTCATCGAATAGTAAGTAAAATTCTTCCACAGTAATGTAGATAACAGTGTCAAGTTTCAACACAAGGCTACGGCAGTGACCTCTGACCTATCTTTTTTTGTTGACGAAACCGACTTTTAAAATTACCATATTCTAATTGCAATTCCAAACGAAACACTGGAGACTGATGACATTCAGTGAATATCCTATTTATACAGATGACATGTAGTCATAGTTTCCTAGGCATCTAGTGCTCAGCATCCATATTTGGTCATTTGATCAGGCCTAGCAATAGGGTTATCATAACACAGCTGTCATTTACCACATTATGCACCCGTGGAAGCAGATATTTTTAATTGCAAAATTATTTGTCTGGAATGTTTGAATGGAGGGATACTTAATGATTAAAGCATTTAGTTTTTATTTATATCTTATTATTTCACCAATGCAAAGTACCACTTCAAAATGAGATATTGTATATGTCCTTAAAACTCTGAATATCAGAAAATACTCCACAAATAAATTAAATGCAGTAATTGCTATGAATCATACAATCTCTGCTATTGTACATGGCAGTCGCTTTATTTGGTGAAGCAGGCATTGTAACATTGATTAGAAATGAGCCAGAAGAGTGATCTCCCTTCATTTTGACCATTACTACTTACATAATAATATACATCATACAAAATAAAATCTCAATTAACAATATTTTACCTTTATTTTCAATTTGATAAAACATGTTTCGGGGTGAAACCAAATATATAACAGAGATGAACTAATATGAGAACAAAATTTCCATTAAATAGACAGACTGTTACTACATGTTCTCTACATAAAGAAGTTTTGTATACATTAACATTATTATCAAGGTTTCACAAACACCAACCAAACCAGGTTGTCAGGTGACATCAATATTTAATCCTATCAACCACTTCACCACACAAACCTTAAAACAAAATATGGTGAGGTTTTGGTACACTTTTCTCAGTATGAAAGTGAAGGAATATTAACATTGTATGAACAAAGTAGAACAACCGTATCAACAGATCAAGACGTGAATAAGCCTATCTTTGGAAACTTTCAAATAATCTGCAGCGACCCAGACATAAACTGTGCATCAGAAAAAAAAATGAAATAAATCTCTCTACAGAATACAGCACCTATTAAAATATAAACAATTTCTTTTTCTTTAAAGCTAAAAATTCCTAAACATCAATATCTGAAGTGTTTTTATCATGTAAGCAATTTCTGTGTAACACCAATAATACAAGCGGAAAATATAAACCCTTATCAAGAAACAACTGTTTCTGTTTAATTATAGATATAGTTTGTAACAAAAGGTAAAAATAACGGTGTATTCTTTTGAAAGACACATTTAAACGTACACAACAATCTGTTTTATACATTATTAAGTGTATAAGAAGTAGACAAAGCATGACTTTGAAACTTGTGGCAAAATTGAATAAATATGTACAACATCTCGCATGAAAAATAAAACTTTCGCTTCCAAGGAGTCTTTATCAATATTTTATTACAAACTGAGTATAGTAATACCAAATTAATTTTTTTTTCATCCAATTAACATCAGCAACCCCCATCCCTCTCCAAACTTTTGTTTTCTTAATATCTGATGTTATACAGATACAAATCTTCTTACATGCTCCGTCAATACATAGTCAATAAACAGATGGGTGAAAACAACATAAAAGTGGGTACAACATTAAATAAAATAATAATCATGAAAATAAAACAAACATCAGTCCCTAGCTTTGCAAATCCCTATATGCCACAAATGGTCAGTATAGATACAAATGCAGAAATAGCTAACCTTTGACCTTTGAACTACGTGTCAACATTTACTCACACTTTTACACATACTTAACCATACATGACATTTTACATTGCAATCATATATCTACAAATGTATCTCTTTTTTTAATGATGATTATTTTTAATCAAAACAAAAGTACCAGAATTTCTTGACAGTTGGTTACAATTTTGATATGTAATTGTGAAATTTTTTCTTGACAAACAATTTCTTGTAGATGCAATCCAAGCAGAATTTGAGGGAACAAGTTTTTTTCCCTAAAACTGTGCACCAAAATAATTAACGTTTACTGAGATGAGAGGTGCAAAAATTTCCCATATTGTGATAATAGCCCTGTGAAGATTATCAGGTTAAAATAGCACTCTGCCAAAAAAAAAAAATTCAGTAAAAAGGCAGATTTTTTCAAAGTAAAATCTGGCCCCATCTGTTAGTTTAAAGTTTAAAATCACATTCTCTCCCTTTTAACAAAACTGTACGCAATGTTGTCTGTATTTTGAGTACAATAATGATAACATGCAAAATTAAGATCACCAGTTTGTAGTAAAAGCAATGAAACGTTCCCCAGGTGTGGTCTTCAATTATGTGCAGATTGTGATGAAATCACTAACCATACACATCCTTGTCACTTCATATGAAGGAGTCTCACTGGCCATACACACTCTCATCACTGTAAGCAATGTACAGAAAAAAGTCCTCCTCATGATGTTCCTTTAAAACAGAAAAAAAAACATTTAGAAGCAGGACATTTAATATCAATTTTAACACTGACTTCCAATTTCCAGATGTGTCTGGTTAGGTTTATTGTATTTATAAAGTACATTTACCATATGTCTGCTAAGTTATTACACCTTGGAAAAGCTTAAAGTCAAAACAAAAGTGAAACATTTCATCTGACAGGTACAAGTTAGAAAAGAGGGTCTAATTGTCTTATATCACAACCACTAAGAACTTGATGTGTCATCTAAATCACTTTTTATTTACACCTGTCACAACTTCACTAAGGTTATTCCTAGAATCACTGATATACCATACTACAATATATCTACTGGTTGTGCTAGGATGTTCTTAAGGTTTGAAATATTATATATCAAGTTGGTGTTCATTGGCATAACTGATATCTGTATTCTATGGCAGTTACTTTTAAATTTTATAATATGTTTTTCTCCAAAACAAATTATTGCACAACCGGGGGGGTTGATAAGATTTTATACATTAATCACTTTCTCTTTTTTTCTCTTAATTATTTTACAATTTTGTGTAACATAGATTATGTTACACCTCCAACCATATGTCCTTGATATCAACCAGCAAATTTTATGTATACTAATTTGATTAATTTTTTCATGATATTTAATTTCACTTATGAAACCAATGAACATTGCAACAACTAAGCTGATTCCAGCGATAACTCTAAAAAATGCAATGTGTATCCACACCATCATATAATTAAAATCAATAAAGCAATTCTTTTTCCTCCTGATCATTACTCACATTATGATTGAAAATCGTTCAAAACCTTTAACAAATTAAATTCACGTGAACTGCAACTGGTTTATTACAACAGAAATGAAAGATTACATAATTATCATAAATGATAATTAGCAGTTTCTTCCTAAAGAGCTATTAATTGTATATAATTCAAGTTGTCCAATTTCCTAATCATCAACTTGTTACCTGGTACAATGATCCCATTGTTGCACTTGTTGGAGGAATCACATTGTTTACAAAGAAGAAAAGGGCATCTTCTGGCCTCAGGTGTATCCGCTTTCTAATAAGGAAATAAAACTGTCCAACAGTCAAATCTGATGGTACCAGATATTTCTTTTTATCTAAATCACCAACTCTTGCCTTTGGTGCTTTTTCAACAATGACCTGAAAAGATATAAGAAACACAGGCATATAATTATTTCCTTCTTGCATCTTCAAGCATTGACATTTACAATATATAAAGCTAGCTCAGACTGTAACATTAACCCCTAAGGTCTTGAACAATTTCCTTCAATTTCAAAATATCATGTTTAGGATTTATAAATATGAAAGATAAAAAATTAAATATCTGCAGATATTATTTCAAATTTACAAGTTTTTGTCAGTCACTATAATTTGCTAAATGTCTACAAAAAGCAGACATGCAACTATTACCTATTCTCAAATTGCATTCACATATATAGATACCTATATATATCTATATGTATATATCTATGAATCAAATCTATATAGTCTATTATTCTTGAGTTAGGGCAATTCATCATCCAAACTAATCAGATTCAAGAAAACCACATACATGATACATTACAATCTAAGTCCACAGTGAATTGAACACGAATATGTAAAAGGATATTGTGCATTCCTATTTTCTTAATTTTGAAGTACTAATAAGTTCAAAGTAAGGGCAGCAAAGTTGTCAATAAACGAAAATGATAAATTACACAGGGCAGCACCACAATTTAAGGGTTACAGCTGGAATATGATTTGACTCATATATATAATTGTATTCGAGAGTGGCAAGAACTGTACTTTAATATGTGCACAAATTCACCAAAAATGATTTATAAATCACTTCTATATTATTTCAGAGATGAAAAACTCTTAAAATAAATAAAGCATCACATATTATGTGGGATTTCTCAGAACATCAACTAGGCCCTATCCTATTTGTTATTTATATCAATAATATGCCAGAAAACATATTACCTTATTCCCTCTTTGCTGATAACGCAAAATATTGAAACTTTATCAAATATTACAAATCAAGAAGATGTATTTATTCTACAATCAGATATAGATAAGCTCAAAAAGTGGTCCAATGTCTGGTTGCTCAAATTTCACATGAACAATGAATATAAGATCCCATCTACAGGATCAAAATGGCAAAGTAATAACTCTTGAAAATACTAAAACTGAAAAAGACTTTGGTGTGCCAGTAGATGAAAAACTGGGTTTTTGTTTTGTTTTTGGTCTATCAACAAAGCAAATTCCATTCTTGGTATACTTAAAAGTTCTTTTATGTAAATAACCAAGCCAATCATCCAACAACTGTTCAAAGCTAAAGTCTGGCCAAATTTCAAATCACTGAAAATGTCAAAGGAAGTGCAACCAAGCTTTCACTAAGGCTCAGGGATCTTAGCTTCAATACAGCGAATATCTGAGGGTATAAGAACTTCCCGCTCTAAATTACCATAGGATGAGAGGGGATTTAGTAACATCTTCATAATAATCGATAATATTTTGGTGGAAAAGGGACTTCTCACAGTCATAACTTTACACTTCACAAATATAACTGTAATGTAATACAGAACTTTACACAACTAGCATTGTTGATATGTGGAACTGTAAATGCAGATACCATAAGAGAATATAAACATCTGCTGAATAAACGCTACGAAGAAATACTCTATGAATTCTAGATCTAGAACTTACATTAATTTACCAGTCATTGATATATTATATTATACATATCTTTATGATTTTGAGTGTCTTTATTTGATATGGACACAGAGGCTTTCAGTCTATATCCATCAGTTTGCTATTACAAAATGCTATTTGATAATTTTGTTAATTGTGTTGAACATGTGTATTAAGGAAAACTATGAAAATTCTACTACAGCTGAATCTGTTTTGTTTGGAACCCTAGTGATTGGACCATGATCGGATATAATCGATTGTCTGGTTGTTTAACCTTATCTGATGAAATGATCCATTGCAATTTTTCATAGTTGTTCATCGGTACCTCATTATTTTTCTGGCGTTTTAACAAAAAAGACAGTTCATATTATGCATAATAATGACGCCAATAATATTCATCCTAATGAAAATTCTAGGTAAGTGAGGTATTTAAGGTTAAAAATATAAGAAAAGAAAAGATTGCTGCAACAGAAAATACATTTACTTTCTTTAAAACACACGAACAACTGTGTAATCTATTAACTTATTTAACTGATAATTCACTATGGATTTTAACCATTTCCTCATCATTTATGTTCCCACACACAGCAACACTAAGTAATTTGGTGTATGTCATCATCAGGCCTAATTCAGCATAACACTGATCAATATCAGGTCAACAAAGTTTTAAGGACAAGCATTAAGTTTTAATAGTCTGTGAATTTTACTTGATTAATGCAATCCATATTTTTGTTTGGGTCAGAAATATAAAAGTGGCACTTCTGTCATTCTCTACCCTAGCCGAGATACTGCTTTAATTTATGACACTGACAATGTATTCCCTGTAACAAATTAAATCAATTTTAGGCTGAGGTAATAAAGTTTAAATTTAAGTAAAAAAGAACAAGTATTTACTTTCACTCAATCCGGTAGTTCGAACAAACGATTACAAAATCATGACAACAAAGGAAACACAAAGTCGGACGCGTCATGGCTCAACTAACGTCATATGAATGTAAACAAACAACAGATGTCGGGAACGACTGCATTTGTCAACACGTATATTACAATATATACTTATACGCGCTGTAACTACAACAGAAGCAAATTAAAAAGTACGGGGGAAACTTCAATTTGATTCTCTGTATGTTTTACAGTCTAATACAACACTCTGCGATTAATTATAAACGTCGATATAGCAACTCAAGAAGTGCGCAAATTGTATATTGGCCTCCACTCGAGTCATGCGAGGTAAAATCATCGACTTCAGAACATAAAACAAAAACAAACCGTAATACAAGAAAATATAGCATTTAGCAGTACATTCAGTTTTAAATGATGACGACGCACTAAGAAAACCGATGACGTTTACCTATGGTATGTACTTTCAGTTTGAGAATGATAAGAGAAATTTGAGGCGAACTATCGCCACAAAGTCATTGCATATTTGAGAGAAAATCACACATACGGGAACTCGATCAGGATACTTCTTTCTGATTTTCTCTCCCTCGGCTCTCCTTTTCTCAAACGGATGCTCTTCTTTATATTCCCACTTCATTTTCTTGCGCTAAATGTCAACAATAATTAGATGGCTGGTTCTGCTCTCAACTAACAACAAATATGGCCGATTTCTGTACCGATGTAAACAAATAAGTACATCCGTGCTTAAAAGTAGTCCACTATACTATGTGATTATTTCTCCATGAATCTTTCTTTTGGAAATATTATAAACAAATGGTGCTGGTGGATGATATAAACGATTACACTTTCATCGATACATAAAAACAGCGACAACTTAATTTCGAATAGGTATACGTGGCGCAATAATATCTCCTCAGTCACAAGATCTAGACCTTACGTCAGACTGGAACTTATTCATGTCTATTTTTAAAACAAGGGATGATCGTTCGGTTAATCTCGGCTGACTACGGTATACGAAATCAGCCGACATCATACGAAGGCATTTAACACGGAGATATTATTAATAATCCAACACTGTTCCTGGAGGTACTATTTGTTGGAACCTTCTCAGCTTCCTTCTTACTTCCAATAGTGATAACGACTTGAAATGAAAAAAATAAGAGTTACAGTATAATTCCAGTTTTACATACTTATATGCATGTTTCTTAGAAAGAAGTTTGGTACCTAAATATATTCTTGCACATGATGGAGTTACATGAGCCGCACCTAAGGCACATAGAGGAGCGACATCATGGAGCATGCAAACGCATCATCACATCTTTTTCATTGTGTAGGATTATATGTAATGTGTTTCGTGAAATGTAAGGGATGTAGCCTGTATGATCATCATACAGTCTATTTCTTAATTTAAAAGAACTTTATTTTTTTTAAATGATTTTAAAAATGAACTCATGTGAAATATGGTTAGTATTAAGTACTCAGATAGTTACTCAGACTAATTGGTTTGTCATTGTCTTCTTAAAACAGCATCTTTCTTATGTCTTATCCAAAATGGGCAAATATCTCCGTGGTAACAGTGATCTTCTCCTCAGTGTAATTATACACTTTCTGATTTTTCCAGAAATTACTTTTCTTTATATATATCACTTTGTCAGGTAAGGTGCTCCATAGATTTGAAGCTCTCACTGTGAAACTGTATTTCCTCGGGTTTTAAGCCTTGGTCTTTGCACATAAATTGTCTTAGAGTTCCAACACCTTGCGCTCTTGATACTTTGACGTTCCTTATTTTAATGAAATATGCAGCTTTAGCGTCATATAATCCACTTTTTATTTTATAATAGACTTTTGTCATGTCCCCTCGGCGACGCCTGTATTTCAAAGTTGATAGTTTAATTTCCTTGGCGTTGTTGATATGTTAGAAGGCTCCACCCAGGGGTCTGATTTGTTGTCATCTTTTGTATTCCTATGAATTCTATAAATAAATAAACTTACATAGTCGAAATACGTCCTTACAAGAGTTTCCTACAGTGGTATAAATTATTTCTCTTCCAAATTATAAAAAGCTGCGTATTAAGGATGATAAGAAGCTTTCTTTACTTTTCCAATTATGTGCTGCTCAAAGCAATTGGTCGTTTATCACGACCCCAATGTCTTCCTCATGCATTACCTGTTCTAAATCATACATATAGAAAGAAGCTTTTTCTGCGAAAAGGTGACCGTCGGCCCTCCATTTCCTTCATTTTTATTTATTTTTTATTCCCAAGTTTTTATAAAAATAAACAAACAAATTTAATATTTCTTAAGACATACCCATATTTTACAAACTAATTATTTTCCTTTCTTCGCGGTATATTGCAGGCCTATAGCATTCGATGTTGGAAAAAAAGGCCAGTTTGTGATAACATTGTATGGGTAGGTATATTCGTCCGCGAAAGAAAGTTGTTCCGTTATGTACTTCAAAACATATAAGGAACAGATTTTTCTGACTCGACATTTTAATCTCAATATCACATATTTGCTAATTTATTTTAAGAGGTATATCGACGTATTTTATTTACCGTTTTATCACTTTTTCGACACACTGTGTAATGCTCGCGTGACGTCACCCCAGTCAAAGGAATTTTATCAAAAGTTTACAAGGCGTGACGTCACACAATATATCTATTCCAAGTCATCCTCGATCACCACCATGCAACAACATTTCGGTACTGGAACATTTGTGGTGATATTTATGGTAATTTGGCAGTTGTTCATGTGATGGTGGAGTTAAGCACGTTGTGGCATTCAGATGTAAAAAAAATGAACTTGATGAGGAAGAGGAGACAGGATAATGTTTGGGTTGATGGAGCCAAATCAGAGTTTTTTTGTTTTGTTTTGTTTTTGTTTTTGTTTGTTTGTTTGTTTGTTTGTTTTTTTTGTTGTTGTTGTTGTTGTTGTTGTTGTTTTTGCGTTTGACAGCAATTAGAAACCATACACTTTCGTCTTTCGTGCAGTGTCCTATAATTATTCAACCATTGTGCGTTTTATAGCCCGTTACATGTTTTCGAACCTCTGTATTGATCAGTCGTTCTCAACCAGGTGGTTTTACCTTTACCGTCGTCACTCTCATCATATTGTCGATCTTAACATTTTCCACAGAAGCAAATTTAATTACATTTATCTTTAACATTTAGGATCGTATAGCCATTTCGGCATTGGAGACAAATAGAACGAGTCGTTTATGTTACCTTGTGGACGATTTGCTTCATAGAAACAGGACAGGGCCACTGGTTATCTGAAACAGTATATTGTCCTGTAATACTTCAAAGAATTTATAATCACCCGTGTCTTCCCCATTGTCACTCGGTAATTCCCAGTCAATGTTAGAATACTAAAATCCCCCATACACTACTTCTCCGAAGATATCATGTTAACCTCATAACTTCTCAAGTACATGCTGTTTGTGTTACTTGTTTTTATGTTAAAAGCTTTCTCCTCAAATAACTCAGGAAATGTAAGGTCTTCGTCTTATAGAGATTAATGTATACAAACTGATATTCTTTTTCCTGAGTTCTTGTCCATGTTTGTACTTTATATGTATTGGTCCAATCCTTTTTATGTTTCGCTCACTTCCTGTACCAAGTTGCGATCCTTCTTAGCTTCCTTGTCGTTCTGATCACTTTATTGTAGGTTGTATATAATCATGTTAAACTCCCTGTTCTTTCACTTGTTTAGTTCACTCAGAACTGCTGCCATATTTTTCCTTGCTCTCAATGTGTACCCTCAGTTGATACTGAATTGGCTTTTGTGTGTACTTGTTTCTGTATTTCCTCATTTACTTGACGTCTTATTACATTTTGTCTCTATATCTTCCTCCAACTGCTTTCAAATCCTTTCTTTTTCTCTTTGCAACTCACTTCAATATCTCTGTATACAATGATGTTCTTTTCAGCCTCTGCTTTATACAGGCAATAAAACCACACGATGTCATTTTCCCATAAGCTTTCATTCCTCTTCTGTTTTGTTTAGGCATTTGAAACAAGAAATTATGTATATATTCCTTAGTTTATATCATAATATACATGTATATTTACTATTGTAAACATTGAATAAAAGGAAACAAACAATCCATTTTAAGTTCAATTGGAATTTAACGTTATTAGGTGTATTATCACTCGTGATAGTGTTTTTACATGGGCGACAATCCTCTGAATAAAGTGTTTAATAAGGAAAATTCGCACAATAGTTGTTCCTGGAATTGGGATTTGATGATGTTTTAGAAGGTCTACCGGAGTTTCTCCTTGTTTTTTAGCCTAAGCTATTGAGTTCGTCATCTTAGATTTGTTTTCTTTGATGGTGGCCATTCTCAAATGCCCTAATTTTCTATGGATTTGGGGCACTTTTGAATCGTCACAATTTTTTCTTCGGTTCGTACAGTGGCCTGTGGCTTGCCACTCTTTACACAAAACGGAAGTTATCTGTCTTCTTTCTCTTTATTTTTTCACATCCCACCATTTCCATTCAGTTATTTTGCGGTAGAAAAATATAAATTCTAAATCTAAATTTGCATTAAAAGACAAATATGTCTATCACATCCAGCCACAAACGTTTGGATAGTGTTTGCCCTTGTAAGGTATTATGTAAGAAAATTATGCGCTCAGGGGAGACAACTCTTACAATAGCGCCTACTTGTTTACATCGATCTGTCAGTTGTTATCTGCCGTCGTGTAAACAAAGTCACAACATTCAGACAAGATTGAAAATTTGGATCAGCTAAATCCCGCCCCCACCCCCCCCCCCCCCCCCCCCCCCCCCCCCCCCCCCCCCCCCCCCACCCCCCCCCCCCACCCCCCCCCCCAAAAAAAAAAAAAAAAAAACAATGAATCAAAACTTTGACCTTTTTTATGTAAACAATCCATTTAGTGCAAGCTAAAATTACCGATGTCGAAGACCAAGCTCACTAGAGCTTATGTTTACTGTTTGTAATATTCGACGTGAAATAAAGTTTCTTGTAACAACATCCCAATGTTAAAGACAAATGTTATTTCATTGCCCCTGTGGACAATATGACAAGAGTGATGGCGACAATGAAACCTACCTGATTGTGACCAATACCGACCTTAATGTACCCGACCCTGTAGGTTTATGTCACGGGCCATACAACACAATCGCTGAACGATTACAGGACACAACATGGAAGACAGAAGTGTATGATAATTAACATGGTACCAAACACTAAAAACACTGATTTGGTTCCATCAATTCGACCACTACCCGGTCTCCTTGTCTTAATCGGGTTAAATTTTACATTCAATCTCATGCTTGCTATAAGGACCGTCATATTTTTTTTTTTTTTTTTTTAATTTTTTCTATTCTGTATGTTATTCTTTGTTATTAGGAATTCACATTACTATTACTTCCTTGTCATACAATTAAAACCTGTAGGATTATCAGCGTTGTCCTGACCTAGAGAACAATATCTTATATGTAAATACACTGCTTTATTCAATTAATCCGGCCTTTTAAGATTAAAAAAAATCTCATTCCATTTCCGATTTCTTTTTATATAAACCATATCTTCCCTTTCGTCGGATGAATATAACTGAGTTTACGTAGAGTTATTGTGGGGATATATATATATTACATTGTTTACTATACATATTCTAAGCAGCGTGTTTGCTTGACTAGTAATTAACATAAGAAAGGCCAATATTTACCGAGTCATGCTTAGGTTAGCACTATCAT